CCCGCTCTGTGCCCTGCCAAGTCCCCAAATGTGCTGCCATGATGTCCCCTTCCCGCCCCGCCGCTACTCGCCTGGCGTTGGCCACGCACTCCATGGTCACCTCCGAGGTCCCGGCCACCACGCTGGTGTTCCTGGGAGGGACAATGATGGTGGGAGCGATGGGATCAGCCGGGCCACCCACGTCTGGGGAGAAGGAGGGCAGAGGGACAGCCATCAGCACCCCACCATGGAGCGGGGCACCCAAAAAGGAGGACATGAAGGTGGCAGGGACCAACGGGCCATGGGTTCTGCTGGAGGACGGGCAGGTCCAAGCCCATCACCTTGGTATCAGGGTCACGGCTCTCCCCAGACCTTCTCCTTCTGCTGGGAGTCCCCCCATGGCAGCGGCGGCCGACAGGGAGGAGGGAGAAGGGGAGTATATAAAGCAAAATGATTGCGACAATAAAAAACCCTCGTGTAGGCACTGTAAAAACGCGATCGGCTTGAAAGCTGCTGATATAGCCGAATCCATAAACACGGGTGCCAGGTTGTTTATCGCGCACCGGGGCAGCGAGGTACGGAAAAACTGATTAATGGGGCGAGGGAGGGAAAGGGGGGGCAGGCAGGGAAGGGAAAACCTCCCCATGGAGCAGCCAGAGGACTGGGGCCACTCTGAGGCATCGTCACTGGGATGGGATGTCACCCCCTGAATGGGGACCAGGGAACCCTTGGCAGGGTTCAAAGAGAAGGGGTCAGGGGGGTGTCCCCTGGATGATCCGGAGCCACTGCACCATCCCATATCCAGGGATGGAGGAGGGAAACCTGCCCAGGATGCAATTAGCGCCTGCGGCACAGCCCCTAAATAAATTTGGAGGCGGGTGAACTGTGAAGTCAGCAGAAGCAGGAGCCTCTGAGGAGATTTACTGCAAATTAAACTTGGGGGAGCGCCAGGCGGCGCAGGGATGCGGGGTTCTTTTGGGGGGGGGACACAAGGCGATGCCCCCGCACTCACTGGCCACAGTCAGCGTGATGGGCTGGCTCGTCTTGTTGTCCCCGTTCTTGTCGTTCACCGCCTGCACGTAATAACGGCCCGCGTCCGGGGCCACCGTGGAGAGGATGACCAAGGTGTTCTCCAGCGTGATGGCTCTGCGAGGACAAGTGAACCCAATGGGGACACTCATGTGGGGAGCTGGGACCCCCTTTTTCTCCTACCCAGCACCCACACTGTCCCCACAGCACCCATATGGGATGGGCACAACCCCCAGCCTTCCTCCCACCTACTCCAGGCAGCGGGCCCCCCAAAAAAGGGCTCGTCGAGCCCCACGCCAAGCGGAGCACATCGGACAGTGCAGATTAATAGGACATTTTTTTTTTTTTTTTAAAACAGAATGATCTAATCTGCTGGAAACATAAAATGGTTTGGGGAATATATTTTTACCGTTAAATACGAGATAAAGGAGTTTTATCTCCTCAATCCTGCTTTGCAAATAGAAAGGAGACCAGTTCAATTCCTGCATAATGCGGGTTACAAATTCAATTCCCGCACGCTGCGGCTGCCAGCGCCGGGGCTGCCGCAGCCCCACGGGGATACTTGGCACACGCGCGTGTGCCGTGCCCGGCTCCATCCCACCCGCTGCCGCCCCACGCGCGCTGCCCCCCTTCCTCCCGCTTGTTTTCACTGGGTTTTTTTAATTCGTTTTCCCAAGGTGTCTGTTAAACATCCTCAGTGCAAGGACAACGGCAGCCGAGGGAAACGCAGCCCCCCTGGGATGTGTGGGGGATGCTGGGGAGATGCT